GTCGAGAGATCGAGACCATCCTGGTCAACATGGTGAAACCCCGTCTCTACTCAAAATACAAAAAATTAGCTGGGCATGGTGGCGCGTGCCTGTAATCCCAGCTACTCAGGAGGCAGAGGCAGGAGAATTGCTTGAACCCAGGAGGCGGAGGTTGCGGTGAGCCGAGATCGCGCCATTGCACTCCAGCCTGGGCAACAAGAGCGAAACTCCGTCTCAAAAAAAAAGAAAAAACATATATACTCTTTTAGGGAGCTGCTTTTCCACACTGCTTCAGCCACGCCTCCGCTCCCACCCCTCGTACCTCATGAGCCATGTTATAAATGTTATCACACGTTATCTCAGTGATAAAAGTTGTTTATCACTGAGAAAGATGAAGAGAAAAGCAAGACAGAAATGGAGACGGAAAGAAGCTAATCTGATGAAAAAGTACAAAGACAATCGTAGGAAAACAAAAACAAATACAGATAATATGTTAAGAATTTTACTCCCAAATCATATTTCTTTCTACCTTTATTGTCGGCTACCTCCTTTGCCCAAGCTAACATCATCTCTTGCTCATATTAGGGCATCTCCTCCTCCCTTGCCCCCACTGCAATCCATTGTCTGTCTGTCTTTTTTTTTTTTTTTTTTGAGACAGAGTTTCACTCTTGTTGCCCAGGCTGGAGTGCAATGGCAGGATCTCGGCTTACTGCAACCTCCATCTCCGGAGTTCAAGCAATTCTCCTGCCTTATCCTCCCAAGTAGCTGGAATTACAGGCATGCGCCATGACACCCAGCTCATTTTGTATTTTCAGTAGAGACGGGGTTTCTCCACGTTGGTCAGGCTGGTTTCGAACTCCTGACCTCAGGTTATCCGCCCGCCTCGGCCTCCCAAAGTTCTGGGTTTATAGTCATGAGCCACCACACCCAGCTACAGTCCATTTTCAACATCTCAGAAAGAGATGTCCTTTAAACACAATTTGAATCATGTTATTTCCCTGCTCAGAATCCTTTAATAATGTCCCATTGTAGAATAAAATTTAAATAAAATAAACATGAACATTGCCTAAAAGCCCGTGTATGAATGATCTCACACTTGTCTATCTCTCAAATTTGAACTTATGGACTCAATACTGTCCATCACACTGGCTTTCTCTTTCTCTAATTCCCTGAAGTCTTTCTTGGTTCAAAACCTTACTTAGAATGTGCTATTTTCTCTGTTTGGAAATATCTTTTCTGTTACTGTTGACTTTGTTTAACTTCTCCTACTCAGAAATCAGGTCTGAACTAAAATATTACTTTCTCAAAGAATTTTTCCTGATTTTTCAATCTAAATTAGCTCCCCTTGTTATATTCTTTCATAACACTGTACACTTTTCCACAAATATATATGAGAAGTTATTTGTTGTAGTATCTAACTCCCCCACTAAACTGGAAGCTTCATGGGAGCAGGCACATTATCGTTTAAGCACTTTCCTTTATCCCCTGCCCCACAGTAAGCATCTAATAAATATTTTTGTAATGAATGAATAAGCAGGTAGTGAGGGGGAATAATCTGTGGTACAGATAGACAGAAGCACAAGTCATATAATATCTTACCTTGCACAAATTAGTCATTCATTATGGAAAAGCATCTGTCTTCCATCTGCCCCCATTTGTTATTCTCTGATAGTTTAAGATCTAAGTGAAGATTGGAAGTCAAGTGACTGATCAAGACTTATATACTCTGGGAAGATCCTAAGAGATCTTTCCCTTATATAAGACAAGCTATGTAATATAGAGGCTACAAAAAAATCTTGTAGGAGAGAAAAGGATATCAAACCTGAATGAACGCTGAGCCCATTTCTCCTGATCCACACGAGGAGCCAGTCCAGACTTTCCAGCCCACAGGACATTGTCACAGGCAAAGTACAAGGCTCGATTGAGGTGACTAACAGTGATGCAGAATCTCAGGACAACGTCTGACAGGTGAACAGCTCTTTTGGCTGACTCAAGGGCATCTGCCGAGTTACCCAGGCGTAGAACTTGTGGAGATTAGAGAGGGAAAGCAAGGATTTGTAAGTAGAGAGGCAGATAGCAAGAAACAGAGAAAGAGGGCAAAAGTTGAGCAATAATCATAACAATTTTTTTTTTAGATGGAGTCTTGCTCTGTTGCCCAGGCTAGAGTGCAGGAGCATAATCTCGGCTTACTGCAACCTCTGCCTCCCGGTTCAAGCAATTCTTCTGTCTCAGCCTTCCGAGTAGCTGGGATTACAGATGACCACGTTCATCTAAATTTTGTATTTTTAGTAGAGATGGGATTTCACCGTGTTGGCAAGGCTGGTCTCAAACTCCTGACCTTGTGATCCACCTGCTTCAGCCTCCCAAAGTGCTAGGATTATAAGTGTGAGCCACTGGGCCCAGCCAACAAGTTTTTTAAAGAGCAGAAACAGGTCAGGCATGGTGGCTCATGCCAGTAATTCCAGCACTTTATTAAGAGGCCGAGGTGGGCAGATCAGAGGAGTTTTAGACCAGCCTGGCCAACATGGTGAAACCCTGTCTCTATTAAAAATACAAAAATTAGCAAGACGTGGTTGTGGGCACCTGTAGTTCCAGCTGCTCAGGAGGCTGAGACAGGAGAATAGTTTGAACCCGTGAGGCAGAGGTTGCAGTGAGCCGAGGTTGCACCACTGCACTCCAACCTGGGTGAGTGTGAGGCTCTGTCTCAAATAAAAACAAAAATTAAAAATAAAGAGCAGACGGCCGGGCGCGGTGGCTCGAGCCTGTAATCCCAGCACTTTGGGAGGCTGAGGTGTATGGATCACGAGGTCAAGAGATCGAGACCATCCTGGTCAACATGGTGAAACCCTGTCTCTACTAAAAATACAAAAAAGTAGCTAGGCATGGTGGCGCGTGCCTGTAGTCCCAGCTACTCAGGAGGCTGAGGCAGGAGAATTGCCCGAACCCAGGAGGCGGAGGTTGCGGTGAGCCGAGATCGCGCCATTGCACTCCAGCCTGGGTAACAAGAGCGAAACTCCGTCTCAAAAAAAAAAAAAAAAAAAAAAAAAAGCAGAAACAGTTCATTTTTCTTTTCTTTTCTTTTTTTTTTTTTTTTTTCAAAACGGCGTTTCACCATATTGGTCAGGCTGGTCTCAAACTTCTAACCTCAGGTGATCCGCCGGCCTCAGCCTCCCAAAGTGCTGGGATTATAGGCGTGAGCCACCGTGCCCGGCAACAGTTCATTTCTCAACTTCAAATTTAATTTTTGTGCCAGTTTACTTTTCTCAAACTTGCCCCGTTCTCTCCAGTCCTCCTAACTACTTCCATACCCCCGTAGCTCAACTGGACGCAGGCAGAGGGTAAGTGCAGAGCCAAATGAGGACGAACAGGCGGAGAAGGTACAGGAAGGAGGGACGGAGGAAGGAGAGGCGGGGATGGAGGAACGGTTGGGGAGATAAAAGAAAAGACAGACGTAGGCCGGGCGCGGGTGGCTCACTGTAATCCCAGCACTTTGGGAGGCCGAGGTGGGTGGATCACCTGAGGTCAGGAGTTCAAGACCAGCCTGGCCAACATGGTGAAACCCCGTCTTTAAAAAAGGAAAGAAAAGACAAGAGTTACTTACGCTTTCTTCCCAGGCTCAGGTGGCCCTCCAGTTGACGAATCTGTTTCTGTAACTCAGGACTGGCTCCATGCCGCTGCAGCGCGTGGCCGAGAAGAGAGCAAGCATACTGGGCGGCCCTAGAGGAGAGGGCAGGCGAGGTCAGGCGGGGACCTCCCTACCCTCCCGCTCAGAACTATCCTCCGAAAGGCGGAGACGGGCTTCCCCGTTTTCCAGGGTGAGACCACTCTCCTTCCTCTTCCATGCCTCTCTCTCGCCATTTCTCCAGGCCAGGGGAAGGGAGAGGGACAAGGAGAAAAAAAGAGCCCAGAAAGGGCTGCGGCGCACTGTTGAATGTTGAGGAAATAGGAAATGTGACCATGATGAGGCCCGAGGGACCCGTGAAGGCCGCAGGGGTCCATCGCAAGCCCAGCGGGGCGAGCATCTGCGGGACCGGCGAGGGGGAGGCAGGCAGCTGGGGGGCATTCTATTCCTCAGAATAGGCGAACTAAGAGACTCCGAGGCCCTGCAGCTGGATGGAGACCAAGGGCCGGAGCGGAGGCAGAGGCGGCCCCGAATGACAGCCCGAAGCTGGGAGTGCCTTCCCAGCTCTGGGGGTCGAGTCCCGGGCTGCCCACAGCGGGGCGAGCGCTCCTCATTCCACCACCGCCCAGGGAGGACGCTGCCGGTCTTACGCGGACACCGCAACCCTGAGCGGCCTCCCCGCTGGCCCACTCATGCCTCAGTTTCCCCATCTCTTCCGCGAGCGGAAAAGAACCATCTCCTCAAGAGCGGCTCCAATCTGCGCCTCGCGCGGTCCGTTCCGGCCCCCGTAGCCAGCGTTGACCCTTCTTGACCCCCCGTAGCCTGGACTGGCCTCGCCTCACCAGAGTCTTCCTCTGCCCGTCCCTCCCCGCACCCCCATTCCTATTCGGGCCGCACCTACACAGCCGCTCCCGGGCTTGGCTCTGAGCACTGAAGCGGACCCAGGCGTCCATGACAGCCGCAGCCCCGGCTCGGCGGCCCGGCTCGGCGGCCCCGCTCCCGCCCCACTTCCCGCCCCACTTCCCGCCCCACTTCCCGCCCCTAGTCACGCCTCCTGCGCGACCCAACGGTGCCTCGCGAGGGACAAACATCAGAAAAGAAAGCGAGAGGGGCTGGCCCTTAAAGCGGAATTTCAGGCGCGAAACGCCTGTCTTTGAGCCTGCCTGCGCGTTACTGTGCCTGTCTCCGTCACGGCGTCCCCTTAGGAGACGACCTCCGCTCTCTAAGCACGCCTCCAGCGGCACATTCTTATTTAAATATTCCACGCAAAGGGCGGGGCCTGCAGGGGCGGGGCGGGGCGGGGCCTGCAGGGGCGGGGAGGGGCGGGGCCTGCAGGGGCGGGGCGGGGCCTGCAGGGGCGGGGCGGGGCGAGAAAGCGCCGCAGCGATCTCCTCGCCTTGGAGGCCGGGATAGGTGTGCGCCCGGCGGGACGCCCTAAACACACTTGCACGCAGCCTCCAGCAGAATCTAGGGCTCTAGGGACTAAAGAGGTCTAGGGCAGTGGAGGCCCGAAACCCAGGCTGGTCTGTCCAAGGGAAAAGAAGAAAAAACGAAGTTTGGTACCAGATCTTCGTTCCCTGCAGGACCCTGACAGTTGGACAAGTGACCTCCTCCAGAACACACGGAGAGTCTCCAGAAGCAGAGGCTTTAGGGAAGGAAATTCTCAATAATCAGCTCCAGATCCTGAAAAGGAGGACGAAGAATCAGTGGCCAAAGCTAACCGTTTCATACTCACACTTACCCTCCTATCTCCAGGCCACCATGTCTGCAGTAAACGGCACCCCTTGGGGGTCAGCAGCGGGGGAGGAGGTCTGGGCAGGATCAGGAGTGGAGGTGGAGGACTCAGAGCTGCCCACCTTCTCAGCAGCAGCCAAGGTCCGAGTGGGAGTGACCATTGTGCTGTTTGTTTCTTCGGCTGGAGGGAACCTGGCCGTCCCGTGGCCAGTGACACGGCCGCAACCCAGCCAGCTCCGCCCCTCTCCGGTCAGGAGACTCTTCGCCCATTTAGCAGCCGCTGACTTACTAGCCACTTTTGTGGTTATGCCCCTAGATGCCACCTGGAATATCACTGTTCAGTGGCTGGCCGGGGACATCGCATGTCGGACACTCATGTTCCTGAAACTAATGGCCATGTATGCTGCAGCTTTCCTGCCCGTGGTCATTGGACTGGATCGCCGGGCAGCAGTACTCAATGCTCTTGGACCCTGCTCAGGTGTCCGGAAGCTTCTGGGGGCAGCTTGGGGACTTAGTTTCCTGCTTGCCTTGCCCCAGGTGAGTGACCTGGGACTCAGGACCGGGGAGGATAGGAATTTGGGTCCATAGCATGAGTCAAAGGGTGTGCTTGGGGGCCATCAGCGTTAATCCTCAGGGAGAAAGCCTCTGCTCTCTTCCGGAAGATTATTTGCATGTTAATTTACATCTGTTAAAAGGCTGCCTTTTAAAAGCAGTATCCTACATCTGTGCCTCTTCCATTAGATCTGTTTTACTACGCTTGGCTTCTACCTCTTTGCATCCTTCCAATCTTACCTCCTTCAGATTGGGGCAGGTTAGAGAAACATACATGGGGGTCTATTAAGAGAGTGAAGTCGGCCGGGCGCGGTGGCTCAAGCCTGTAATCCCAGCACTTTGGGAGGCCGAGGCGGGTGGATCACGAGGTCGAGAGATCGAGACCATCCTGGTCAACATGGTGAAACCCCGTCTCTACTGAAAATACAAAAAATTAGCTGGGCATGTTGGCACGTGCCTGTAATCCCAGCTACTCAGGAGGCTGAGGCAGAAGAATTGCCTGAACCCAGGAGGCGGAGGTTGCGGTGAGCCGAGATCACGCCATTGCACTCCAGCCTGGGTAACAAGAGCGAAACTCTGTCTCAAAAAAAAGAGGGAGTGAAGTCAGTGGTTTGGGTGAAACTCTGTGGTACATTCACTTATCCATTCAAAATATAATGTGCATCTCCAGGGCCACTCAAATGCTAAGGATAGAGCAGCAAAATCCTGCCTTCAAGAAATGTATAGAGTAGTGCAAGAAACAAATAAATTAAGCAATGACAATACAGTGTGTATTCGAAAGTGTTATGGTAAAGAAGCTAAAGAAGACAACGGCGGGGAGAGGGTGTCTGATGCAGCCATGCAGTCAGGCTGTTTTCCAGAGATGTTAAAATTTGCTTCAGAGACAGGTATTAGACCAATTAATACAGGAGAAATGCTAGGAAGGATGGAGGAGAGAGGATCTCAGTGCTGCTAAAGCTGAGGACTAGAAAATGGTGAGTAATGAGCTGAGAAGGGAAGATGAGCCAGATCACAAATACTAAAATTGTACTTTATCCTGAGTGCAGTGGACAGACACTATAGTAAAAAGACAGTGACGTAACCAAATTTGTGTTTTTTACTCTGACTTTATTGTGGAATGAGTGTTAAAATTGGAAACAAGCGAGCTTCTGAACCTGATTATTAGGTTAATCAAATAAATGAAATACTGCAAAGGAACTAGAAATCTAGGAAGGGGGTGGGGAAAAGCTAAACGCAAAGCAATGCCTCCACAACAAAAACCACTATCACTATCGTGGGGTGGGTGTACAGGATACAGCAGCGAGTCTGAGACTGCAAGATTAGAATTACGTCTAGGAGGCGAAGAAGGGTCTAGGCTTTGTCTCTGGAATGATAATCCGTTACACTTATTCAAGATTTGACCCTTATTTACCTCCTCCAATTATTAGAGGTAACTACTAGAAGTTAGTCTGACTATACTTCTAAGAACAAAGAAAGGCCCGGGTGGCTGAAGCCTGTAACCCCAGCATTTTGGAAGGCCAAGGCGGGCAGATCACTTGAGGTCAGGCGTTTGAGACCAACCTGGCCAATGTGGTGAAACCCCATCTCTATTAATAAAGAGATAAAAATTAGCCCAGCGTGATGGCAAGCACCTATAATCCAAACTGCTCAGGAGGCTGAGGCCTAAGAATTGTTTGAACCTGGGAGACAGAGGCTGGAGTAAGCCAAGACTGTACCACTGCACTCTGGCGTGACAGAGACAGACTCTGCTGGGGAGGGGGGGAAAGAACAGAGAAAACTACTACTCCTTGTGTTGCAAACAGGACCTCTGCCAATCCAAGCGCTAAAAAGAAGCCTGTTGCTGTGGCGCCATTTACAAGTAGGTTTGTTTATAGGAAGCACATTTGAGATGTGGATTGACAATTAGAAGACTTTTTGTTTCAGTTTGCTTGTTTTGCTTTGTTCTTTGTTGTTGTTGTTTTTCCTGAGTCTGGGCTCTACTGCTAACTAGCCACTTAAAATCCATGGGCCAGCCACAAGATGATGCAATGGGAAATGAGTTTCATCCTCTGTTACAGCCTTACAGTTGACAATAATTTGTCATCTGTTTGTTTCAATGGCAAACTGGTCGTGACATGTATGAGACATGTGTAAAAGGTGATATTTTTTTGTTCCAAATTAGTATTCTTTGGGGTAAATCCTGCATTGCCCATATGCTGTAATTCTCTTTTTTTTTTTTTTTTCCATATGCTGTAATTGTAGTTAAAATATTAGCGTCAATAAAATAAAAAAAAACGTAATAATGTTATGTTAGTGTGGTGAGGGGGTATTAGGGGTAGCTAGAAATTACTTATTTTTGTAGGCTTAAGTTTCCAAGTTACCAGCAGTTGAAAGGAATGTTTCTGTAGTACATGATAAATGGCAATAAAATAGGAGACAGGAAAGATCAAAGCAAGGTTGTGGACCAAACTGTAAATCCAAAAGCTTTGATTATTTTTATCTCCTCACCATTTTCAAGTACTTCTCAGGCATAGCACAAAAACAGAAAACAATTTAGAAATATATGAATGCAAGACATGGGAAGAGGAAAGACCATTTCCCAACTAGCTCAGAGTAGCTTGATCATAACTCCAAACAGTTCACAAAATTCTGTCTTAGGATCAAACTATTCACTTTTCCTAAATGTCCCTCATGCCTGCTAAAATCACTTTCCCAAATGCCTTGTATCTAGGAATCTGACACCTTCTGAGCTTACCTGTAATCAAATTAACAGTGACTAAATCTGCATTACTGGAACCCAGACACTTGAATCCCGTAGCTGTAAACTAAAATAGTTTTTATCGATTCAATCGGAAAACCCAGTAATTTAACAGAACCGGAGCGGGTGGGGGCGGGGGGAGCAGCCAATAGCATTTGGAAAATGTTAAGTTCTATTATTTAACGTTATTTCACCATTATGGTTACCGCAGATAAGACTATTACTATTGCCAGGCATGATGGCTCATGCCTGTAATCCTAGCACTCTGGGAGACCGAGATGGGTGGATCACCTGAGGTTAGGAGTTCAAGACCAGCCTGGCCATCATGGTGAAACCCCATCTTTTTTTTTTTTTTTTTTTTTGAGACGGAATTTCGCTCGTTACCCAGGCTGGAGTGCAATGGCGCGATCTTGGCTCACCGCAGCCTCCACCTCCTGGGTTCAGGCAATTCTCCTGTCTCAATCTCCAGAGTAGCTGGGACTACAGGCGCGCACCACCATGCCCAGCTAATTTTTGTATTTTTAGTAGAGACGAAGTTTCACCATGTTAACCAGGACAGTCTCAATCTCTTGACCTCGTGATCTACCCGCCTCGGCCTCCCAAAGTGCTGGGATTATAGGCGTGAGCCACCGCGCCTGGCCTATTTATTCTAGAACACAATCAAGCCTTAAAGTAGACTTGGTGGCTTCACATTTCTATCATAATCCCTGGGGGTAAGAGATCAGAGAGTCCCAGGTTGGGAAGGGGAAGAGCATTTGCACATTCTCCTTGTAGGGTGCAAGCCATCTTCACCAGCTATGCCCCTCCATCAATTCACCCTATACTCGGTTCAGAAACTGAGTGTCCACATTACAGAATTTTTTTTTTTTTTTTTTTTTTTTTTTTTTTTTTTTTTTTTAGATGGAGTTTCGCTCTTGTTGCCCAGGCTGGAGTGCAATGGCTCGATCTCGGCTCACCGCAACCTCCGCCTCCTGGGTTCAGGCAATTCTCCTGCCTCAGCCTCCTGAGTAGCTGGGATTACAGGCACGCACCACCATGCCCAGCTAATTTTCAGTATTTTTAGTAGAGACGGGGTTTCACCATGTTGACCAGGATGGTCTCGATCTCTTGACCTTGTGATCCACCCGCCTCGGCCTCCCAAAGTGCTGGGATTACAGGCTTGAGCCACCGCGCCCGGCCTCAAGAATATTTTTCTAAATTCCTAGCCCCTGCTGGTGAATTTGCCCTCCGCCGCTCCTTTGACAATCGTCCCCGTGTTCGTCTCTGGCCCCGAGACTGGCCCTGCTTGTCTTGCTGACCTTCATCCTCTGCTGGCCACCTTATTACCTACTAGGTCTGTGGTACTGGTTCTCCCCGAGCATGCTAACTGAAGTCCCTCCCAGCCTCAGCCACATCCTTTGCCTCTTTGGCCTCCTCAATGCTCCTCTGGATCCTCTCCTCTACGGAGCCTTCACCCTTGGCTGCCGAAGAGGGCACCGTGAACTTAGTATGGACTCTTCTAGGGAAGAAGGGTCTAGGAGAATACTCCAACAGGAGAGTCAAGCCCTTAGACAAATGGAAGTTCAAAAAACTGTGACATCAAGAAATGCAGGAGAGGCCGGGCGCGGTGGCTCAAGCCTGTAATCCCAGCACTTTGGGAGGCCGAGGCGGGTGGATCACGAGTTCGAGAGATCGAGACCATCCTGGTCAACGTGGTGAAACCCCGTCTCTACTAAAAATACAAAAAATTAGCTGGGCATGGTGGCGCGTGCCTGTAATCCCAGCTACTCAGGAGGCTGAGGCAGGAGAATTGCTTGAACCCAGGAGGCGGAGGTTGCGGTGAGCCGAGATCGCGCCATTGCACTCCAGCCTGGGTAACAAGAGCGAAACTCCGTCTCAAAAAAAAAAAAAAAAAAAGAAATGCAGGAGAAACAAAAGACATTTCTATAACATCTATCTGATGCTAACACAGTATATAGAAACAGAGTAATAATTCTTTAATACCGTAAGATCTTAACATCTCAATTTCCTGCTCTCCTAATTCCCCCGCGAAAAGAAATACTGAGCAGTGTCTCCACTTTAAACCCTGCCTGAACTTGAGACTATGTCTAATACAGAAACTCACACAACTAACCTGGGCAACACAGCAAGGCCCCATCTCTACAGAAATATTAAATGTTTAGCCAGGCATGGTGGCATGCGCCTGTAACCCCAGCTACTTGGGAGGGTGAGGCAGAAGGATGGCTTGAGCCAGGAGTTTGAAGCTTCAGTGGGCTATGATCACGCAGCTGCCCTCCAGCCTGGACAACACAGCAAGACTCTACCTCAAAAAAAGTTAAAAAAGAAACACAAACACATACAGTTCAGTCCCTAGAATTATCTTCACAATGGTCCATACTGCCTTACTATGCTTTAGAACTTTTAATTTTAGGACAGGAAAGTAACATTAAATGTAGAAAACAAAAATTGAACATTTATTCGCAACTCAAAAGAATACTATGCATATAGGGGAAGAGATTAAATATAAACACAGCAAGTTCCACCCCAGTCCTCTTTGTCCAAGGCTGCATGGTCAAATGGAGTCTTGAACAGAACGCCTGGACAACACACGACCTGTCAGCGACGTCTCCGATCTGGACTTCTGCTGCGTCTTCGGCCACCTCTAGGGAAAAAAGCAGCAGGAGGAAAGTCCATTAGAGGGACATAATACTACGCCCTCATTCTGTTTTGTTCGTATTCCCTTCACCCAAACAGTGTTTTCCCTCTTCATTTTACCTCCTCTTGCCTTTTGGTGGACCCCGAACAAAGCACCAGTCAACGCTGATTGGCTGTCCCATCAAATCCTGGCCATTGAGTCCCTCCATAGCAGCCTGGGCCTCCTTGTATGTTTCATACTCAACGAGAGTATACCCCTGGGGAAAGTGAAAAGATATGAAAACCCTCCTATTTCCCCAAGCATCACTGGGTATCCTTTTCCTCAAATTCAAACTCAGAAAAACCTATAAACTTTAAACAATGAATGTACGTCACATATCTCTACTGTATATATTCAGCATGTCTGTTTCTGTCTCTCTTCCGTGTCTGATAAAACATGGATTTCCAATGTCATTTTATTTCAACTTTGCTCCAACCCACATCAAACCCAGAACTACCAATACTAAGAGTTATGAAAGAAGAGAGGCAATGAAGTGTCACTTCATTGGCTACCTTCAGATATCCTGTTCGCCTGTCGAGATTGAGGTGAATGTTTTTAATTTCCCCATATTCTGCGAATTTGTCGTGTATATCTTCTTCAGTAGCTTCCTCGTGGACTCCAGTAACAAAGAGAATCCAGCCTTCAACAGCTGTTGGGGGACGGAGGGAAGGTGTCTAAGTACATGAGAGAAACACTTCAAGCAGGCTCACAGGAGTGGAGTGAGTGCGGATTCAGACTCTTTTTGAGATGGAGTCTTGCTCTGTCACCAGGCTGGAGTGCAGTGGCGCAATCTCTGCTCACTGAATCTCCACCTCCTGGGTTCAAGCACTTCCCCTGCCTCAACCTCCCGAGAACCACGCCTGCCTAATTTTTTGTATTTTAGTATAGATGGAGTTTCACCAGTTGGCCAGGCTGGTCTTGATTTCTTTATCTCATCATCTAGCCGCCTCAGCCTCCCAAAGTGCTGGAATTACAGGCGTGAGCCCACTGAGCCCGGCCAGAGACTGTTTAAACTATCTCTGAATCCATTCCTACTGCATTTAACTATTTTATTGGTTAAATATAAACACAGCAAGTTCTACCATAAACACGGATAACGCACAGGTTCCATTATTACTCACAGCGTTGTGGTCCGGGTTCATCGCCATCCTGCTCCACGCTGTCGTAGTCCTCACGCATCCGCGCTCGGGACCCCTCTTCTATAAGAGACAGACACGAGATCACCGAAACCTCCTCCTTTCTCCCATTGTTCCTATGAGTTGGGTGGGGACTCCAAAACCCGGAGCTCTACTCCACTTTGCCCACACTCACCGGAGCCAAAGCCGCGGCCCTTCCGTTTCTTCGCTTTTTCTTTTAGTTTGTGAATGCTCTCTGGAGCCCCAGAAGAGAAAAGAGTAAGTAACCATGACAGTCATTTGTAACGACTGTTTCTTTCCCAAGACACTATCTACAATCCAACCCAAACCGCCTTCAGTCTCAGTCCCTTCCCGGTCCCGCCCTCCCTTCTCCTAAAGGGGCGGAGTCTCTTCCACCCAAGACCCGGTTCCCCGATTCCCATCCTCACGACCGGGGACAAAAGAGAGTGAATTTTGCTGTCACAGCCTTCTCTCGCACCTTCCCCGCTTCCCGCAGCCGCCTCCACTGTCCTCACCGTCCCCATCCTCATCCATGGCGAAATCTTCGCCCCCGGCCTCGTGAAGATCTAGCACGTCCGCCATCTTGCCTTCGATGGAGATCTCGTCTGTGCCGCTCAGACACTAGGCACCTCGGGAAACTGTCGCAGAGGGGAAAGGTCGCCTGTGAAGCTGACCAATCAAAGGTAAACTCTAAATCCCGCCCTCGGCACGGTAAAAATACGCAATGGGGGCGGGCTTAGTTCGGAAAGATGCCGGAAGTGTTTCTGTGGCCATCTTGAGCAGGTCGCGAGCTAAATGCTGCCATGTTGGGAGGTACAGATTACAAGGGTCAGTTGCCTACTCTTAGCCGCGGCAGCTGTTGAGAAATACTGTGCTATTCACAGCGAGGACCGGCGTAATTTCCTTATTAGAGGGCTTCATCCCAAACCGGGAAATGGCAATTGAAGAAACTTTTCTTTCAAAAATTCCGGGCCTGTACCCTGTTCCGAGGCAGCGTGCTGTATGATAGGAGCGTTTTTTAAAAAGTTTGATAGCAGTGCGGGCACAAATAGCTGCTTCTGGAACATACTGCAGCACCGAATTTCTCTTCAATAAACTAACAGACCTGGTTGCAATACGATTGGTGAGACAGATATCAGTTTTTGGTTTTGTTTTTATTTTTTTTTAAAACCCCGTAACTGTAATCCCAGCTACTCAGGAGGCTGAGCCAGGAGAATCGCTTGAACCTGGGTGGTGGAGGTTTGCAGTGAGCCGAGATCGGGCCGCTGCACTACAGCTTGGGTGACAGAGCGAGACTCCGTCTCAATAAATAAATAAATAAATAAATAAAGGCCGGGCGCGGTGGCTCACGCCTGTAATCCCAGCACTTTGGGAGGCCGAGGCGGGTGGATCACGAGGTCGAAAGATCGAGACCATCCTGGTCCACATGGTGAAACCCCGTCTCTACTAAAAATACAAAAAAAAACTAGCTGGGCATGGTGGCGCGTGCCTGTAATCCCAGCTACTCAGGAGGCTGAGGCAGGAGAATTGCCTGAGCCCAGGAGGCGGAGGTTGCGGTGAGCCGAGATTGCGCCATTGCACTCCAGCCTGGGTAACAAGAGCGAAACTCCGTCTCAAAATAAATAAATAAATAAATAAATAAATAAATAAATAAAACTCCCTTGATACTTCTGGGAATTACTGGCATTATCTTTTAAACTATATAAATTATGGCCTTCAGCAAAATAGGGGCTTTATCTTTTTTTCAGGATGGTACAGGTATTTCACGTTTACAAACGTCAGATTTGAAACAGTCCCCCCACCCCCAATTCTGGAATCCTGATGTAAACCTTAAAAAGTAGTGGACTGGGCCGGGCGCGGTGGCTCAGCCTGTAATCCCAGCACTTTGGGAGGCCGAGGCAGGTGGATCACGAGGTCAAGAAATCGAGACCATCCCGGTCAACATGGTGAAACCCTGTCTCTACTAAAAATACAAAAAATTAGCTGGGCATGGTGGCGTGTGCCTGTAATCCCAGCTACTCAGGAGGCTGAGGCAGGAGAATTGCCTGAACCCAGGAGGCGGAGGTTGCGGTGAGCCGAGATCGCGCCATTGCACTCCAGCCTGGGTAACAAGAGCGAAACTCCGTCTCAAAAAAAAAAAAAAAAAGTAGTGGACTGGATTCACTTATTTATGAATGCCTGCGTGTATGTCTAATAGTAAAGGAGTTGCTGGCAATAAAAGGGCAAATAATTACATTATCAACACTTTATGAGAGTGATAATTGCTGTCATAAAGGGCTGTGGCAGTACAACGAAAGTTTCTAGGAACTGGAAGAACTTCGGGTTTCTATTGGACCTTTGAGGCCAAGTAGTTTTCCAGGCAAAGGAGTTGTATTGAGATTAGGAGACCCTTCTATGGGGAAACTGAAAGTTAAAAGTGAGAAAGAGGGCCGGATGCACTGGCTCATGCCTGTAATCCCAGCACTCTGGGAAGCGGGGGCTGTGGGATCACCTGAAGTCAGGAGTTTGAGAGCAGCCTGGCCAACATGGTGAAACCCCCATCTCTACTAAAAATACAAAAATTAACGGGGCGTGGTGGAGTGCGCCCGTAATCCCAGCTACTCGGGAGGCTGAGGCAGGAGAATCACTTGAACCCGGGAGAGGAGGTTGCAAGCGAGCTGAGATCTCGCCACTGCACTCCAGCTCGGGTGACAGACTGAAACTCTGTCTCCAAAATAAATAAATAAATAAATAAAATAAAAGAATGAAATGAAAAATAAAATTTAAAAAGTGATTAGGAGACACTAATGCATTTTTCACAGTAGGTAGTGTGA